ACATGGGATTCAGTTCTTGTTTCTTTTTCTTGTTTTGTTTTTATTCCCTCCCTCCATCCTGTCCTCCATTTTCTTCTCAAGTAACTTGGTAAAACTCTGCTTCATTTACCTTCTCTGCAAGTCTCTTCACGTCCGACTTGTGAACCTTTCCTATTTTTAGATATTCTTCTCCCTGGCATGTCCTGCTACTGCAGCCTAACTGATACCACAGAGTCATTTCAGGAGCCTGGGACTGTCCTTGAAATGCACTAAAATCCACCTACTGTACTGGGATATTCAAAGCTTTGGTAGTCAAGTACAAGTGACTTTCTTGACTGGTGGTAAAATCTCATAAAGATGAAAATAACCTCCAGTATTAATGAACAGAATTCATTCAAGTCTGGACAACTGCACCACAAGAAAATATTACAGTGGCATCAATATCTGCACTGGAGCATAAATTTATGTAGTAGTTTGCCTAGCAAAACACAGAAACTTCTGTGAAGCAGAGGCCATCTAAGCAGGCAGTAAGTGCAAAGGAGTAAACCTGGCAAATGACTGGAAACAAGCTCTAAGGAAGGCTAGAAAAGAGCACGCTTCTCTAAATGAGCTTTAAGTTCAGAGGCAAAAAGGCCACAGCAATACAGAAAAGCAGACACTGAAAAGTGAAACTGTAAAAAATAAATTTGTTAAGGTTTCCAAGAAAGCCTAATAATATTCTTACAGGCAGCTTGCTTACACCTCAGCCACTCCTCAAATTCAAAAGTAAATATCAAAACACAATCTTCTAATGAGCAATAACATAAGTAGGAGGAGTTACCATTATTTCCTCGGATAAATGCGTCCCCATACTTGTTCTTTAGTTGTCCATTGACATATTCTTCAGTCTGTTCCAGGGCTATATTCATATACCCATCCAGGCAAGCCAGGACACCTGAAGACAATGACAATTTAAAAGTGAATCAGCTTAAACTTATCTTAAAATAAACAAAAATGCACTGTGTTTGAATAGTACTGAAGAACCTGTATCTTCATAACAAACTAAAAGCCCAAGCTTGGCCAGATGAGTAAGCAGATCAGAGTATTCTTCAAAGAATTAAGCTGGGAGTGAGGAACCCCAGGCACTCTAGTAGCAATTTTATCAGTTGATGTGAGAGTGGGGAGAAAACAAGTCATTGAGTCATGGCTTTCAGAAGATTGGCAATTTCCACATTGAAAGTTGTCCCTCCTCACTTGTGTTTTAAGCCATACCTGAAAATAACTTGTAACATTAAGTGTAACTGGATAACCTAAGGCTACATAATTTAAGTTTTCATTGAAACTTGTGAAAGATACAGCTGAAAAATAGCCCTTTTAATACAGGGCACTATACACAATTTTTCAAATTTATTTTCATACTTAGAGAGGAACATTGGCTGCTAGTCTCTGCTTTTTGTGTAAACAAAATTCTGCATTTTCAACAGGCACAGAGTTTTCAAGTGACATTTAAATCTTCCCACAAAAATAAAATTAATTAATTTTTTTTATTTAATCCTGTTTAATGCATCTCAAGAAAAAATATGCCTGCCATTTGTGAAATTAGATGTTCTTTTGATCAGGAAAACGTGCATTTGAGCATCACTTATAGCAGCCTTCCAATACCTGAAGGGGGCCTACAAGAAAGCTGGGGGGGGACCTTTTACAAGGGCAGTTAATGACAAAACAAGGGGTAATGGCTTTAAACTGAAAGAAGGTAGGTTTAGATTAGATATTAGGAAGAAATTCTTCACTGTGAGGGTGGTCAGACACTGGAACAGGTTGCCCAGAGAAGTTGTAGATGCCCCCTCCCCGGAAGTGTTGAAGGCCAGGCTGGATGAGGCTTTGAGCAACCTGGTCTAGTGGAAGGTGTCCCTGCTGATGGCAGGGGGGTTGGAACTAGATGATCTTTAAGGTCCCTTCCAACCCAAACCATTCTGTGATTCTATGATCACTGCTTTTACAGAAGTACGTTTGTTCTCACTTCTTATAGCCCCTGTTGAAGGCTGTACCTTGTTCACACAGTACTTGTGGTCAACAGCTCAAAGTCCGCATGGAA